AAGTTCAAAATAGGGGCAATGTTGAGCCTAAGAGGGGAGAAAGAGCTTAGGAGGAACATGATGGATCTCTTCAAATTCTTTAAGGACTCTGCGGAAGAGACACTGGATTTGTTCTCTTTGGGCTACAGGGTAGAAGTTGGCGGGGGGGGGGGACAACCAACAGCTGAGCAAAGAGGAAATAGGTTGAGTTTTTAGGTACAGGAAGATTGGCCACTTGATAGTAATATTGTGGAGGGGATAAGAGAGTCAGATGAATGGTTAGACTGGGTGACCTTTAAGATCTTTCCTTAAAGTCTTTGATTCTATGACCTTTAGTAATGGTGAAATGATAATCTCACAAAACATCCCATTTCATGACCTTTCCACTGCAGACAGAGAATGGAATGTGAATGAGGCAGTCATCTTTGAGAAAAGAAGGTAGAGTCCCATGGATTTCCTTCCCAATTTATTACCAAGTGCTCGGTTTCCTAAGTGATTCACTAACTGAATCCTTCTCAAAACTGGGTAAAGTCTTCTACCATTCACTTCAAAGGGCCATTGGGCAAGTCCAGTCAATGGCTTAAGGCACCGACCAAGCTTTGGACATGTCATCTGGCAACAAAACAAATGGGTACAGAGTTCCCACCCCCTACCTCTCATCTGCAGTTTAGCGTTCTGTGGTTTCAGTTACCCACAGTCAACCTGGGGGCCAGAAGCAGATGATCCTCCTTCAGGAGTAGCCTAACGCTAAGTCACGATGCCTAGGTCACTCACCTCCCTGCATCTCATCACGTGGGCATTTTATCACCTCACATCAGCACAAGAAGAAAAAGGGTCAGGGCAGTACATTATTTCAAGGGAGAAAGAAAGAGACCACATTCACATAACTTTTATTACAATGTCATTATTTTATTTTATTGGTTGTTATTAATCTCTTACTGTGCCTAATTTATAAATTAAACTTTATCATAGGTATGTATGTATAGGAAAAAATATAGCATGTATCTAGGGCTCGGTACTATTCATGATTTCAGGCATCCACTGGGGGTGTTAGAATGTATCTTTTTTTTTTTTAAAGATTTTATTTATTTATTTGAGAGAGAGAGAGAGAATGAGAGATAGAGAGCACGAGAGGGAAGAGGGTCAGAGGGAGAAGCAGACTCCCCGCTGAGCAGGGAGCCCGATGCGGGACTCGATCCCGGGACTCCAGGATCATGACCTGAGCCGAAGGCAGTCGCTCAACCAACTGAGCCACCCAGGCGCCCTTAGAATGTATCTTCTATGGATAAGAGGGGTCTGCTCTAGTAGCCCACTCAGGGAACTGCTTCCTTTTCTTTTGATTTCAGTCCCTTCTTCCCTCTCTGACAGGTTTTGTTGCATCATTTTAGAGGAATTGAAGTTTAGTCCAGGAAATTAGTTCAGTTGCAAGGGCTCATCTTACTCCCTCACTTACTCTTCTTTCCTCTGCTGCAGGAAAGTTATCGACACCAACCTCCTGAGAACTTCTGCCTACCCCTGATGTCTCAGAAAAAAAAGTTAAGGTCTGGGCTGAAACCAACCTTTCCTATGACCCTGTTGGAGGATCCTACATCCAAGCGAGAACAGTGGTTTAGGTGAAGTCCCAGCTCTTGTACTCATTTTCTTCCTATCATTTCCTTATTCATGTCACTATCTCTTTTCATCACAATTTAACAAAAGCTTTTTGATTGTAGGAAATATGTACAACTGCATAATAATAAGACAGCTTTCCTACATGACCCCCAACCTCATTTATACCCTAATGAAAAGAAACGATAATGCAAAACTAAGGTTTTTCCACTGAGAATGATGTTCAAGAGTGAAAAGAAGTACTCAAAGATCTATGAGAGGAAATAGAACAACATTTTCTCTCAGTGCATGCGAAGGGCTGTAGCTTAAGAACAATGTGCTAGGAGATTTCATTTGAAACTAGTAATAGGAGCAGCCCCCATCTAATGTGGGGAGGAGAGAAGAGATTTTATTTTGTTTTTATTTTTAAAATTTTTAAAATTTTTATTTTTTAAAGATTTTATTTATTTATTTGAGGGAGTTTTTTGAGGAGAGAGAGCCAGAGAGCACAATTGGGGTTGGGGTGGGGGAATGGCAGAGGGAGGGGGAGAAGCAGGCTCCTGGCTGAACAGACAGCCCAACATGGGGCTGGATCTCAGGACCCTGGGATCATGACCTGAGTCGAAGGCAGATGCTTAACTGACTAAGCCACCTACGTGCCTGAGAAGAGATTTTAGAGTTCCTTCACAGATTTACAATGCTAGGTTCTAGAAGCATCCTTTCCACTAAGCAATACTCCCACTCCATACCAATGAGCACTCTCTAGTGACTGTCCTTTCTTCTCCCCCAGAATTAGAGTGTAGTGATTCCATTAACCCCCTGGCCTAGGATCTACTAAATGAGCTTTCTTTCTTAAGGTTTTCCACCAACAATGATTTCAAGAGTGAAGGGACGTATTTAAAGGTCTATGCTTTGAGGAAACAGAAAAAAATGTACCCCCAGCTCAACTTTGCTTCAGTCTGTAAAAGAGATATGAGGAAAGATGGTAAGTTTCTTTCTTTTAAAGCAAAGGCTTACAGATCTGAGATGTGGGCAAGAGGGACAACCTTTTGGGGGCAAGAGATAAGGACAAATCAACATCTCTTACGGAGGTTCTGGAGACTGTTTTTCCTTGTAGCCTGGAAGTTAAGAACTGTTAAAAGGCCTGAGTGATGCTAGGCTTTGGACCCTGTTACACCCTCAAATTTCATTTCTTTTCTTTTTAACCCTCAAATTTCAAGAAAGCTCTAGGATAGTGTTTCCCAAACTACCCACCTACCGCTTTAATAGTTTTGGCCATATTGATGTATTATTTGCCCTGTTATTTATATAATGTTTTTCTTTAAAAGTTTTTTGTTGTTGTTGTTCCTTTCTTAATACTATATTATATGATATACTAGGTACATGTTTTTTCCTGACAAAAATTTAGTCAAATTTATAATAACTAAAATTTAAAATATTCATCTATGTATCACCCAAATCTGCCTTGTATAATGCATATCACACTTTGTGGAAAACTGTTCTAGAAGGACCAAAGGATAAGTCTGTGGGTTTCAGAAGTTCATGAGTTTCTTTGGGGTCGAGGCAGGACATGGTGTGGAAGGGGTTTGGGATAAGGTTTATGGAAGAGAATGCAGTGACAATGCTCCCCACACATTATCATTCACTTAACATTTATGGGGCACGTATAAGTGTTGAGCACTTATCAAGCACCAAGACTGTTTTTTTCCCCCCAGCCCTGGAATAATAAGTAGGGATATTTATTTCCTTCAAGGGAAATTCCACCCCTCCACCGAGGCAAGTTTTGAGCTTTATAAGCAAGATAAGGTGAACATAAGTTAATAGCACATTTAGTAAAGCTGGAGTTAAATCTTAAAATGACTATATGTAGGATATCAGCAGTTTGGTTTAAGTCAATATTGGGGAAAGAATTTCTCTAGAATCTAGAATCTAATCTAGATTAGAATTTCTCTAATTTTTCAAGGGCATGAACCCAATTTACATTTCTAAACAGAACACTTAATATCTCAGTCTATAGCAATTAGTAGATTTTTGGTGACTTTACAGTTTCTCCCAAGAAAAGTGAGTACCTACTTACTTATGCATCTAAAGGGCCCCTTGTGATGCTTTCCCTAAACAAAGACAGTGGTGGGGGGGGAGTGGCTGTGAAGTTGAAACAATGTCTTCGCTTCAAGTAAAAGAGACTGCTAACAAACCCTCCTTCTGCCAATAGCCAGTCATGTTCCATGTTTGCCAGGCATCCAAATAAAGAAAGATTACGTAGAAAATGGTTTGGATGGGGGCCATAATTGGATGGGGGCTGCTTAGGAGGCCGTCCAAGAGATGGATGATAGGGCCAGAATGAAGGTGATAGCAGTAGGAAGGAGGAAACAGATCCAAGGGATATTTACAAGACATACTGCATCAAAAAAGTGCGAGGGATGGAAGCAAAAAGAGCCCGGGATGGAAGCTTCCAAGGACAGACAGAGGTCGAAAGAGAATCTGGATAAAGTGAGGACACTGAAGCCAAAGGTAGAAACAGTTTCTTAGGTACACTCTCAGACAGGAGAACGGAAAACTACATGCAACTTTAGGAAAAGGCTCAGAGGAATATGAATGTACAAGCGAATGCATCTTATTAAGAGTTATCTAAGTGTCAATATGGTTGCAGGTGGAATCATTTGAAAGGGGTGGGACGAAACAGGGAAGACTCCAAACTGGCAGTGTCTTAAACTGGGTTTTGATGAAGGGAAGGGATCCAGAACTATAAAGAAGGTTGGGCATGGTAGTCCGTGGTCCAAAATTTACCCTCTTGCTAAGAGTAAAGACCAGCTTCCTGGTCCCTCCAAGTGGGTCGCTTTCCTGCCTCACACTGAGTGTCCTTTTAGATCCTCTGGAAATCCACATTTACCAAGGTGCCCTGTGCTTTGTTGCAGTCGCCAAGTCAGGGAGTGACCTGCCGACTTCCAAGCTGATTTGGGAACCACTAACACTTTCGTCGCTCCTGGAAGAGAAACTCACTAGAACTCTGCCAGGGGAGAGCACCTTCCGCAATGGAAGGGCCCAGCAGTGGGTTATTAAAAACGCCACTGTCGTCAAGTGAAAACAAACCCTTCAGGCTTCCCCGCCTCGGTCTCCAGAGACTAAGGGGCCTGCAGAAGTCACCATCCAGGGCGTGCCAACCAAATAAAATCGCATTCTGCCCGCTCCGGGCTTGAACTGCCCGGTCGCTGGCAGGATTGGCCAGGGCCAGCCCCAGTCTCCGACCTGTCGCTGCAGGGGCCGGGACGCAGCCCTGGGGCCTCAGCGCCTGGCCCCGCCTCCGCCCGGCTGGGGGAGGAGGAGAGGGCGTGGCCGCGTCCCTAGGGGACCAGAGCGGCCGCGACAGCCGGGGGAGGGCGGGCCTTCTCCCCGAGTGACGGGACGGCGACCCAACCGGCGCCTGAGCACGGGGCCGGCCTTCCTGCAGCCTCTTCCGCTCGCCGGCTGCGGCGCCTGGGACGGTTGCGGTGGGTCTGGGCGCTGGGAAGTCGTCCAAGATGATTAAAAAATTCGACAAGAAGGACGAGGAGTCTGGTACGCGCTGGGCTTCTGACGCCCACCCTCAGCCGCGGGGGCCCCTTCCCCGCCCGCCGCCACCTGCTCTCGGGGGCCGCGGACCTGAAGGCGTGGGCGCCGGTGTGCCAGGGGGCCGGAGTTGGAGCCCGCCCCTCCCTCCGCCCGGCTCCGCTCTGCCGCAGCCTGGGGCCTGCCCCTAGCCCCTCCCCCGGGCGCCGGAGCCTCCCCTCGGGTCGCGCGCTCGGGCCCCGCGCCCGCGCGCCGCGTCGGGCAGCTCGGCGGCCCCGCCCCCCGCTTCCGCCCCCCTCCCCCGGGCGCAGCCCCTCGGAGCCGCCTCCGCCGCGCTCGCCGGGGGTGGGCTGACCGCAGAGGAGGCGGGTCCACGGCGCGTGGCTGAGGGAGTGGGTTCGCGCGTGTGAGAACGGGGGAAGCTGGTAGTGGTAGGCCCAGAGTGGGTCTGGGCTCGACGGGACAGTATGTGCGTGCGTGTGTGTGTGTGTGTGTGTATGAACTTGGAAGTGCCTTGTACCTTCCAGTCTTCCCGGGGACCTTAACTCTGTCCGCTTCCCAGGAGGTTAAGACTGTCCCATGGTACATCGGCCATTCAGTGCTCAGGCATCCAAAAGTGAGTTGCGTCCATTCAGTGCTCAGGCATCCAAAAGTGAGTTGCGTCCAGAGCAAATGGGGAAGATGCCAAGCCACCTAAAAACAACAAAATCCCCCAAACTCCCAAACCAAAACCCCTCAGTGTTTGGTACTGCGCTCCCATGGTGTGGTCGAGGTTTGGGTTAGTAAATCTCCATGGCCCTTCCAGCTTGATAAGATTCTTTGCTAACTCTTTTCTGCTTCGCAGTAATTGTTGGAAACATGTAAGATAGTGCTTGCCTTTGGGGAAATCCAAAGGGCCCAGCCACAATCTCATTAATCTTAGCTGTGTGCACATGACATATACTTGTCACATTCGTGTGAAAAGCAGAGAGGGGAAGAAGACACTCATTTTGGGCAGGGATCCTGCAAAAGAGTACAAGATCTTCAATGACTAGCAATGACAGCTAGTTCCAAAATCAAAATGATTTTATTCAGTTTATATGTGTATTAGTAATGATTGTCACGGTGATATCCCAGTGGTCACTTAGATGAGCTATCCCAAGCATTCAATACCCTTCTGTAGACAATAAGTTTGTCTAGGACACCTCTTAAAGACATTTTTTGTTTATAATATAGGTAGTGGCTCCAATCCTTTCCGGCATCTGGAGAAGAGTGCTGTCTTACAGGAGGTATGACTTGGAAGTATGCTGTGTTCTTTTCTATTCCATTTTAGAATGGTGGGCAGAGAGCCCCTGGAATATGATGACCCAAAATAAGAATTGAGAAATGTAATATTGTGTTCGGAGAATACAGACTTGAGGCAAAAGGAAGACGGATTATTTATCCTAGGAGGATCTAGAGCTTATAAAATGCAAAAACATGTAGACTCTCCCACGCGCGTTGATAATTTTAAAATTCCAAAGAGGTGTTTAGTACAAGGTTACTGAAGGAAGTTGTAGACATTAAACTAATTGTATTCAAATGCTGTAGATAAGTGTTGTGATTCTTACTTAACACGTAAAACCCATAAAGTTGAAGTACTAGATCTAAGGGAAGGAGTTAGTGTGGAATGGAAAATCAAGACCATATTTAATAACGTATCATATACTGTGATAAATTGAAAACTGTAAACAATTAACATTATTTGGCTATTGTGATCAAAATATGTAATAGTCTATTTGATTAAAGTTGATTTTTTTTGTAATCTGTGATACAAATGATAGAAAATATACTATGTATAACAATTTTTTGTCCCATAGGCTCGTATATTCAATGAAACACCCATCAATCCAAGAAGATGTTTGCATATTCTTACAAAGATTCTTTACTTACTGAACCAGGTAAAGTATTTTGATTTTCCTCAGATTTGTTTCCTGGAATAGAAATACATAACATGCAGTGAAATACTTTCTGGAAAGTATAGTTATTTTTAAAAAATTCACTTAATTTAAAAATATACAGTGTTTGATTAAGGTAAAGATACATAAAACTTCTTGAGGACAAGGATTATGACATATACTTCTATTTTATTCATGAGGTACTAGACCAGCTAAGCACATAGTAGGTCTCAACATTGATTCAAATTTAACAATTACTAGTTAATGTTAAAACATGTTGTTTAGATTTGTTTAGAGGTCTTTATGTCCCTCCAAACATATAGTACAAAATCTTATACAAATTCCAGATAGATATTTTACTTTTTTTTGGAGGGGGAGGAGTATAATAGTGATGTTTTTCAAGCTTTGATTTTAATATTTAGATTACATATATATTATCCCTACTGTACCATGATTCTGAGCTTAACCATTTTGTGCCCTAATGTCCTTTTCTATAAATGGGGATTATGATAATGTCTGTTTTCTAAAGTTGTAATCATTCAATGAGATAACGTAAAGCACTGAGAATAATCCTGGACATGCACATTCAGGAATAGTTTTAATTCAGTCATTCAGCAAATATTTATAATATACCTGCCGATTCCTATGCACTGTTTTAGGCACTGGGGATATAGCAGACAAAACAAAAGTATTTGCTCTGATAGAACATAGATTCTGTTTGCTGTTATTGTTACTAATTTTATTTTTTCTTGTGTTTTTGTTTGTTTTGCGTCAGACTGAAAAAGTCTCATGAAATGTCTAGGACCTTAGAAAATGTGATTTTGTTTCTTAGATTCACACACACACGCACACCCAAAAACACATGTATATATACTTCAGGTGGTTTACATATGGTGTTATGAAGACCATGGTTTCCAATTTGAATTCCAAGAGAATATCTTATTTTTACTGTATTTCTTGACTGAAGACATGATGAAGATTTGTTGTTTGCAAATGTAGACTGAGCAACAAGTGCATGCTTGTACATAAAATATATTCTTGTACCAACATCATATCCTTCTGTGGTGGCATATTAGAAACATTTAAGGCAAAGTCAGTTTGATTTAATTTTTCATGGCACACATTGCATCCAGGTTGGCTAAATCCATTATATAAGCAGAGTTTCGAGTAGTTGAAGGTGGTGCAAAGTAGCATATACTTTTATATTGACCAGTACCTCTTTGATGGGCAACTCATGTTGAAACACTTCATTATCTTGATAAGGAAATTACCTGTATAATCTGATAAATAAACACAGTCAACTACATAAACAGGTTTGGGAACCTTAGTTTTATCTTTGGCCTAGTTCTTGGTATTGCTTTATGGAAAAATACTTTTAAGTTTCTACTGCAGCTGACCTACTCATATATTCTGAATTTCAAGTCCAAAAGTAGGGACTCAGGGTTTACTGATATGACAGAAAAGTGCCCGGACTTCTGTATGTTCACTAAGTATTTATGAAAGAGAGGGGAATCTCTTGCTGATGAGCACATTGGGTACTCTGATATAAGTAATTGTGAATTCTTATACTTTGTCTTTCATCCTCAACTTTTTAAAGTTTTTCATCAAAATTTGTTTATTCTTCTACCCATGACAAATAGATTGAAAACTAGTTATATTCCATGTGAGATCTTAAGCCCTGGGAAGTGATTGAGCCTAACACGTTATGAGGACTGCTTTTAATGAAATTGAATATTGACATGTTAATGTGTCAGGTGGTCTGTAATCCGGAATTTTTTGACTGTGAGTGAAATAGGTTATCTAACATCTTGCTACTTAAAAAAAAAATGTCATTCTCAGACTAGCAGCATTTGCATAACCAGGAGCTAGTTAGAAATGCAGAATTTCAGCCTTCACCCAGAGCTACTGAAGAAGATTCTGCATTTTGGCAAGATCCTCGGATGATTTATTAAGCATATTAAAGTTCTGATCCAAAGCATCATCCAAAGCCTGAGTTATATAACTAATCTGGTTCCTGCCTTTTGGTTGCCCACTTTTTACCGCATTTTCTGGGATTCCTAATATATAGTTCTTTACAATTTAATATTTATCGTGCTCCTATAATATGTCAGGCTTTGTGCTGGGCATTGGATTATAGAAATATAAAAGGTGTGAGCTCTGCTTGTAGGCAATGTAGTACTAACATGCCATTCTGATTAGGAACTCAATTTGCTACTACTTTCTACTTCATTGTAAATTGTGGTTCTCTAGGGAAATTAAAATAGTTCCTGCTAAAAGGTTAGAGACTACTATTCCAGAACGTTTATAGCATGGTGTGTGATATTGAATTATTTTAAATAAGGAGTGGACAAAATGGCCATATAGATTTATAAATTGAAAGCCAGAAAAATAGCACAGAGGCAGAATGTTTACAAAGAAATTTTTTCCCTGAATTTTAAAAGATTTTTGCAGAAATAAAGAGAAAATCCTTAATACACCTTTTTTTAAGTTTAAGAAATTGTTTTCAATTTTCCTTAGGGCGAACACTTTGGAACTACAGAAGCCACAGAAGCCTTCTTTGCAATGACTCGATTGTTTCAATCTAATGATGTAAGTCTTTTTATTTTATTCTTTTAGGCTGGAAGAGCTCCTTTTATTCTTTTTTTTTTTTAAAGATTTTATTTATTTATTCATGAGAGACAGAGAGAGAGAGGCAGAGGGAGAAGCAGGCTCCCAAGGAGCAGGGAGCCCGATGCGGGACTCGATCCCAGGACCCTGGGATCATGACCTGAGCCGAAGGCAGACGCTTAACCATCTGAGCCACCCAGACGCCCTCCTTTTATTCTTTTTCCCTGGGGAGCTTGGAGTGTTCCAAATTAGAAAAGGTCGCCTGAAATATTTCAAATTACTTAAACATTATTTATCTTCATAACATTTTCAAATGTTCATTAAAGGCCACATGAATGTGAAAGATTGACAGTATACAGCGTAAAGCTCTCCCCCTGCAGATCTCTCACGCAGTCATAAAAGCCGTTCATATCCAGCGTGTGGCATGCCACTGTGAAAGTCGGCCGGTGTGGAAGTCAGTGGACATAGCTGCCACATCTCTAAGTTCCCAGTCACGTTTCTGGTGGGCCTGGGGTTGCTGTTGATCAGCAGCAGGGCTGGCTGGTAAGAAGTGCCAGAGCAGCATGGGGAAGCGGACATGGGGTAGGGAAGAAGAAGTGTAAGGACAAACCAAAGCTGCCAGCCCCTCATTGTTTGTGTCTCACTGCCTTAAGCCACTCTGACTTTCAGAGCATAGTGTCTCTGCTGCTTTACTTCTGTTTTCTAAATGTGCTGCATATTTCTCTTTTGCCCAGCACTAGCTCAGAACCTACACGGGAGGGAGTTCTGGGAGATAGATAGACTTCCCAGCTTTCTGTTGATGTAAATTGTCCAAATCTTGCAGTATTTTTGGTATGTACTGCATATCTTCACCAGCCACATTTGGTGCACAACCTCCAGGAACTTCTAGGATTTGAGTGAGGTGAACATAGGTTATATGTCTGGATAATGATAAGATTTGGGAATAGGTCCTCAGGAACTCAGCAGTCTCTTGTAGGGCAACTGTCTCAGGTGAGGCCATTACACATTCTTCAGGCAAAGGGAGACTCATTTCCTCAGAGAATGAAGAGCCGCTTGTACTTGCAAAGGAGGCTTGGGGAATTTAGGGGTTCAAGGTACTCAGCTTCATCAGAATCTGCCCGTATGTCCCCATCCCAGTTTTCAGGGTCCCACTCCTTCCCAATCCAAAGTCTTCCCTTTAAGATGCCCCACAAGGTGTGTATTGAATTTTCATTGTCTTTCAGCCACATGGAGGGTTTGCTTTTCAGAATTCTCAGCGTTGTGTCCACATGACACAGGCTTTCTATTAAAGATGTTACAGAAGACTCTAGTCCCTTACCCAGACCTTGAGCGGTGAATTTCAAACTCTGGACTCATTTCTTTTACCAAGTTCTCCAGTGTACCTAGAAACAACTAACCCATTATATAACACATTTTTACAAAATATTCTATGGCAGCAACTGCTGGGTTACCCAAACCTTGTCTTCTATAGGTCCTTAATGATGTGCTTCTCTGCAGGTGTTGATTTAAGTATTTTGCCTCTGCGTGCCATGGACGACTAGTCTCCCCTTTACCACTGGAAACAGGGTCATTAATGCCTTTTATCGAATCAGAGAAGCAATTTTAGATTTCTATTGTTAAGGTCCTGTTTCCCTTTAATCACTTCCTGTACCAGAAATTCAGGGTTCAATCAGGGAAGCAGAACCACTGTGATTATTATAGATTTATATATTAGAGGAGTTAGACTTAGAAAGCCAGGCATTTCAGGCAGCTGGAGTAAGGTCACAGAGAGGGACTATTACAAAAGTTATGGAAGGCTGTTGCCTCTTTGTGGCTGTGTGAATTTGCAGCCCCAGGTTGCTGTTGCTCAGCGGGATGGCAGTTGGAAAGAAGAGCGGGCCATGGAGCAGGGAAGAGACAGAGTGAGGACAAACTCGAAGCCTCTAGCACAGAGGTTGTATTAAGGAAAGAAGGCATGAAATAGTTTTCTGGGAAATGGATTGGGGAAATGTAGGTTGTTGGGCAGTACGAATGGCCCCTTGGAATTAGTGGTCATGAATTGAAAGTATTACCTGGTGGCTCAGTGAACATTTTTCTCCAGCTATAGGCTTCCGATTGCAGCATGGAACGGTTGGAGATTGGATTTAGTCAGAGTTAGGGTTTTGCCAGGTTAGTAAACAGAGGGAAGAGCAAAGAAGTTGAGTGATTGAAATATTAACTATGGAATCTGGTTAGGAGGCAAGTAAGAACAGGAGCTGATTGGGACAGTAAAAACTTGATCGGATCAATGGATTGATAGAGTGAAAGGGCTGTTGGAGTCAGGAGTGGTGCCTGGAGAGTGAAATGCTTGGAAATGAAATTATGAAAGGGATACTGTTATTGATGGGGGTGGCAGTGGAAGTGGGTGATTGCAAAAGGAAGGAGGACAGGATCCTGGTAGAAAAGTCAATTCTACCAAGTGGTTAGAGTTTCAGAAATACTGTCTGTATGGATATTAAAGTCACCATAATTATTACTGGGTTAATATTGGAGATAGTAATGGTGAACAAGGTACTAATATATATTTTTTTTAAATAAGGGAAGTAACTGGAAAGCTGTCTATGCAGACAGGAGTGGTGGCAGGTGATGCAGTCTGAAGGCATAATTTAAAGCCAGAGATTTTTAGGGGAGAACAAGTGAAGTGAAAGAAGGAAGTGTAGAGATTTTGAACAGGCAGTGAGCTTCCCCACCTGTAGTTTTGGTGGATGAGGGTTTAAAGGAGAGAAAACAGCCACCTTTGGGGAGGGCTGCGGGGGGGGGGGGAGTTCTCAGGGAGGAGCCAGGTTAGAGACAAGGTGGTAGAGGTTTTGGGATTCGAGAAGGATGGAGGACAGAGTCAGATTAGGTGCTTTTCTCAGCTGCATGGCAATAAGTGTCCAGGTGATGAATAATGACCAGGATATTTTAGGTTTTTGTAGTGACTGAGGTAAGGAGCCAGGTTGTACAGCATATGCTGTGATTCATTGTCATAGTCCCTTAGGCAGAATATGGAGATGAGGATGTGATTTTTGGGGGGAGGAGAGGGAGGTAGGGATTTTGCTGCAGCATTGGGGGGCTTCTTCCTTTTTCCAGCCATCCTTTACCAGAGGGTAATCACTATCTTGAGATTGATAACCTCCTATCAGTGTTTATATGTATTGCATATGTTTGTATCCATAATCTATACTTAGTGTTTTTGTGTGTTTAAAAACATAAGTAGGGATGCTCGGGTGGTTGTCAGTTAAGCATCTGCCTTTGGCTTGGGTTGTGATCCCAGGGTCCTGGGATTGAGCCTGCATTAGGCTTCCAGCTTAGCGGGGAGTCTGCTTCTCCCTCTCCCTCTGCCCCCACACCCCACTTGTGCTCTCTTTCTCCCTCTTTCAAATAAATAAATAAAATCTTTAAAAAATATATAAGTGATCAGAGGTGGCTGGGTGGCTCAATCAGTTAAACAGGCAACTCTTGATTTCGACTCAGGTCATCGTTTCAGGGTCCTGGGATCGAGCCCTGCGTCAGGCTCCATGCTGAATGCAGAGTCAGCTTGAGGATTTTCTCTCCCTCTCCCCCTGCTACCCCCGCCACTGTCTCTCCCTCTCTCTCTCTCTCTCTCAGATAAATGAATAAACCTTAGGAAAATATATAAGTGATCATATTATATTATTGCAGGGGTTTTTTTTGAGATTTTTAATTTATTTATTTGACAGAGAAGCAGCAAGGGAGGGAACACAAGCAGGGGGAGTGGGAGAGGGAGAAGCAGGCTCCCTGCCGAGCAAGGAGCCCGATGCGGGGCTCGATCCCAGGACCCTGAGATCATGACCCGAGCTGAAGGCAGATGCTTAATGACTGAATCAACCACGTGCCCCTATTTTTGCAGTTTTCAAAATTCATGTTTTCAAGATCAACCCTCTTGCTGCACATACTTCCGCTTTATTCAGTTTCACTGCTGCATGTGATCCCAGTGTGTTAATATACAGTATTTCTACTCATTTATCCATTCTCCCATTGGTAGATATGTGTGGCTTCCACTTCTTTGCTATTACAAGTGATATTATACGTAATGTTTATGTACATGTCTTGTGCACATAGTAAGAATTTTTCTGGGACAGATACCTACAGCTGGAATTTCTAGATAATATTTGATCTTATCAAATTGATCTTTGAATTAATCTTGCCCTAATTTACACAGACATTGCTTTAAATCCTTGTTCTGATAATAAGAAATTATGTTTGCCATTCAGAAGAATGTGAAATGGCATTTCTTTGTGGTTTTAATTTGCATTTTCATGATCATTGCTGAAATTGAAACTCTTCCCATGTTTAGTGGCCATTTTACTTTCCTCCTCTGTGAATTGTCTGTTCATATTCTTTGCTTATATTCCTCTTATTGACTTATAGGAAAATTTTTTTATTTTAGTATTTAAAAAAACAGCTTTATTGAGTATAACTTACATATTAATAAAATTCACCAATTTTAAGTGTGCAGTTCAGTGAGTTTTGACGAGTGTGTGGAGTCATGGAACCATCTCCACAGTCATGATCCAGAAACCTCTCATCACCTCAGAATGTGCCCCTGTATCCCTTAGTTGTCTGACTCCTCGCTCAGCCTCTAGCACCTAGAAGTCAGTGATCTACTTTCTGACAACACAGTTTTGCATTTTCTAGAATTTCACTTAATATTTAATCATATAGTATGTATCCTTTTATGACTTTTATGTCTTATTTCTTTCTCTGAGCTTACGGCTTTTGACACTGATCCAAGTCTTTGTGTGTAACAGCAGTTTTTCACTTTTATTGCTGAGTAGTATTCCATTGTATGGAGGTGGTCTAGTTTACTTATCCATTCACAAGTTAATGGTTATTTGAGTTATTTCCAGCTTATGGATATTATGAACAAAGCTGCTAACTATATTCAATAGAAGTCTTTGTGTGGACTTACTTTCATTTCCTTTGCTTAATATCTAGAAGTGTCATTGTTGGATTTGCAT